TATATATATATATATAGAGAGAGAGAGAGAGAGATGTATATATAGATATAGTTGGTAGATAGATTGGTAGATATTAGATAGACACATTTAATGTCACATAGCACGCATTGAACATATGAAAGCCGTTAGCTAGCTAAAAGCTGTACTAAATATAAAAGATAGGACATGCACGGCTTTAGCCTGAGACTGTTCTAACTCTTCAACTCTAGGTTGTTGCATTAGAGTAAGAACATTTGAGAGATATGAAGTGTTTCTGTAAGACCGAAACGTACATAGCACTTATTTTATCTTTGCTTTCTTCATTTCTTTTCCCGCGGGTAGCTTGAACATGTAAAAAATGGCTATTGGCACCTTCGATTGCACAGTACAGGTCAACGGTATCATTGAATGCGTTTTTCTGCAATAAGCAGGTAGTACACAGCCGTGTGCGAGGGAGCGCATGTCGTCTAACCTCTGCACGAAAAAGAACCCAGCACACTTATCGACAAAAGGATGGGTTGCCCGGCTTTAAATATTTTTAAGCTTTCTTTGTCAACTGGATCAGTACCAACAGAATTGAAAATGGCCAAAGTAATACCCCTATACAAAACCGGAGATCTTGACATATTTACAAACTACAGACCTATATCAATCCTTCCTACGTTTTCAAAAATCTTAGAAAAATTAGTTTATAAAAGAATTTTAAGTCACTTAGAAACAAATAATATTCTTTATTCTCATCAATATGGATTTCGCAAAAAATATTCTACGTACATGCCCCTGTTATGCTTAACTGATAAAATAACCGAAGCGTTAGAAAACAACGAATACACCGTAGGCATATTTCTTGATCTTTCAAAAGCATTTGATACCGTTGACCACAAAATATTACTTGACAAATTACATATGTACGGCTTACAAAACACAGTTCATGATTGGCTTAAAGATTATCTTGCTAACAGAAAACAATATGTTACCAATGGCATTTACAAATCACAACATAACTCAATAACATGTGGCGTTCCGCAAGGATCCATCCTGGGACCCCTACTTTTTCTAATTTACATAAATGATTTAGCACAAGTATCTCAAAAATTATTTGCTCTTCTCTTTGCTGATGATACAAATCTATTCATGTCTCATAAAAATCTCAACACGTTAGTAACTACAATGAACGAAGAATTGGATAAAGTAAATAAGTGGTTTAAAACAAGCAAATTGTCTTTAAATGTTAAGAAAACAAATTTAATAATATTTGCAGGTAAAAATAGAAATTACCCGAGGGAAAACGTACAAATATACATAAACAACAACCTTATTACTCAAGTAACACACACCCGTTTTCTAGGGGTTTTAATAGATGCAAAATTAACATGGAAAAATCACATCGATCTTATTAGTAAAAAAATATCCAAGAACATTGGTATTATACGGAAAGTAGGAAATCTTTTATCTCCTAAAACATTTATCACTCTCTATTATAGTCTTATCTATCCTTACTTAAGTTATTGTAATATTATATGGGCAAGTACATACACTACATCACTTAAACCGCTTTTTTTGCTTCAGAAACGATACATCAGGATAGCGTCAAAAGTTTCATTCACTTTCCCTACTGCACCATTGTTTAAAAAGCTCAAAATACTGTCCATAAATGACATAAATAAACTACAAACAAGTCTTTTAATGTACAAGATAATGAATAAATGTCCTTGCCTTCCTGAAACCTTCCACGACACCTACACCTTCTTATTAAACTCAGACATCCACAACCACTTTACACGTCAATGCAATTATTTAAGGCCATCCAATGCGAAATCGAATCTTCGTCAATTTACAATCACGTACAGAGGCCCAACAATTTGGAACAACCTAAGTAGAACTTTACAAATTAGTCCCTCCGTCACCATTTTCAAAAATCATACTAAAGCAACTTTCATAAATAACCCCACACATTCTTAATTCTTGTTTAAGTTTCCTTGTTTACTACTTTTCTATTTACTACTTTTCATTATTGTAGATAGTATTGTATCGTATTGTATTTTATTGTTTTGTTTCATTTACCCGTTACCTAGTAAGTTATTTCTTATTTATCCGATTAATTTGAATTGTTAATTAAGTTATGAAGGGAGGCCTCCTCATAAGCATTTTATGCTTCCGGCCTCCCTGCACTGTCACATTTCATTTATATTTTCTTGTGTCTGTATTTTGTTTTAAAGTGCGAATAAAAACTGAAACTGAAACTGAAATGCAAGACATATGGCGGAGACGCATTGCACTACTTGGCTCATTCTCAGTCTGAAGTCGCCCGCTTTATTTTTATCTCACGATTACATCTTTGTGGAACAACCCAACAGCTTTCACATCTGTAAGACAGCGTGTCGGCACACGTACAGGCCATCATGAGCATGTACTATTTATTTCTACTTCATGTACCCTGGCAGAAATATATACAACCTGCGGACAGACAAATGTCGTCTAACGTTGACATTGACCTTCCTTCTATTTCAAGACTCTCGCGGTGTTCTCAGATGTTGGCTGTTGCAATTGGTACTGGTAGTTCTAGCAATGTGAAGGTGGTTGGGGCTCTCTATTTGAACGCCTAAGGACTTTGACAAGCAACTATGTGTATTGGCTTTGTTATGAACATTTCTAGACGAAAAGTCATGAATACATCTAGGTTCAACTAAGTCCAACAAGACTGAAAACTAGCGGTAAAGCTTACCATAGCCATGCGCCATGGAGAAGCATATTCACTGGCAATTTGGAAATTGTACCTTCACATTACTTCGTGCAATCGCAATGCATCGTCTTCAAAGCGATTATCTCTGAATAGATCTAATTATAACCTGACTATTACCACCCAACAGTTTGAAAGGATGACAGCCCGTAGTGTAACGGGAAAATAAAAAAGTGAATCTTGATATTACAAAGAGCTTGAAATATGCCAAGCCTACAGACTTCTCACAAAGAACTGACATCGTCTGAACTGCATGATAAGTCCATATCACATGCAAGACCTGAAATCTGTATTATATTCTTGTTGTGAATAATGTCAATACATGTCTATTTAAAGAACCCAAGATCACATACTCTGGAAGGCGAATAGTTCACAGAGACATGAAAAATTCACGGCAGTAGTACACGATATGAACCACAGATGGTAGTATGCTTGAGATAAAAAGAAAAACTAACAAGAAGCCATAGGTGACAATCCTCCGTGAAGTTTTATATATTTCAACAAAATCCCAAGCGTCAATGCCAGACCTACTGTGCAGACATTGTAATTAGGCAACGGTTAATACAATGAGGGCGCGTCACAAGCATAAAACATACAAAAAGCTAAATCCATTACTGCTCCCAGGGCGTGTAAAGATACTGTGCTTCAAGTTCGAAGTTCATTTTAATTACACACACACAATTATTGCATTCACATAAAGATCGGACTATCATGGTCGTGTCTAGTAACAAAGACAGCCCCACCGTCTTACCGTGCCTGTACCTAATTAAGCGCGCCTGGAACAGGCCAAATTCCAGCAACAGTTGCGGTAAGCACCGCGAGTGTTACTACCACCGGCCAGATAACCAGGATATCTGCTTAGAGTACCTCTGCTACCAGACAACTGCCTAAACCTACGGCCTATTCCACAGGATTGTAAAAGTAGGGATGTTTCTAAAATATGCATTTACTTCAATATCAAAACAGCTACGGTAAAAATAAAAAGACGTGCATCATCCCGGACATAATGCCACACCACATGCGAAATTACACAGAAATGCGACGTACGGAAGAATGCGTTTTGGCTGCGAACATCTTCCAAAAAACTTGGCATCTCTTAAGCATGGGCAAAAACATCTGGAACCACTTATC